TTTGCCAAGTGCCCAAGTGTTACACGATATAAAAGTTTCCGAAAAATATTCAACAGATAATGACAAATGTTCGGAAGCCACTAAATGTATGCAAACTATTAAAGGTAAGTAAAATGTTTTTTTTTTTTTTCGTGTTCACAGCATTTTCCTTATAGATCGATGGCATAATTTTATCATAGGTGACGCTAGAGTTGGAAATTATAACGCCATCTCTATTTCGTATCGTATTTTTTAAAAAAAAGTTATTTAACTCGTAATAGTTTTTTATTTCAATTTCAAATCATTTCTGAAAAAGTGAGAAAGAATTAATCCTCCAGCGAATCCCTTGCAATTAATTTTGCTGAGCAAATATTATTAAAGTTTCGTTTTTTATTAAACTATTTGCTGCTCTGTATTAATATTATTACTGATAGATTATCCACGTATTTATTTCATCAATTTTCTGCCACGCTAGATTATGCTTCTGAATTCCTATGTTTTGTTCAGACCATTTCAATATTCTCTTGTAGATTGATTACGCAGGAACACAATATGCCTTGAGCATTGTCTCATCTCCCTCCAGATCAAGACTAATACGTAAGGAGCTTATGTTAGTATTTATGAAGCTTGTTCATTATTCAAGACATTGTGTTTTGGGGACATTTCTCCGATTCTGTTGGGAAACAACACGAATCTTACTTAGAAAAAAATATTGATTCAGAAAAAAGTCCTGAAAATAATAAAATAGGTAGATATTTGATTCAATTATTTACTAAGAATATTAAGAAGATGCACATATCATATTTTTTAGCACTTTACCCGATTCCCATTTTTTCAGTTCGATACCTGCAATTGACGTCATTTGCAAGTATCCAATTAATCTGATTTTAAAATTGATTCAGCTAGGTAATAAACAAAGCCTAATAGCTATATCATCAGGCTCATTCCCACAAGCCATGCACAACTACGTGATTAGATATAACCGTATGATTTCAGTTGTACTCTTCTTCTCAGGTTTTCAGGTATTTAATTAAATTTTGTTTAATAAAATTTAGTATTAAGAAGTTTACTGGAAAATTGCTGTTAAAGATACCAGTCTCAATACTTCTAGGTTTAGGCTACTACACTTCTTTTGAGTGGATAAAAAAATCTATTAACACAGTACCTATATTACTATAGATATAAATTACTGAAATAAATTACTATATTAGATAAGAGTTACCAGAATCTTTTGCTACAATATCAGTAGCGCCCTTAATATCACAATTAATTGCTTCATTTTTGTCAGTAAAATGTAGCGATTTTTACGACCTATCTCAAATTACATTAGTACGACTTTTTTGTTTCGTTAAAAAAATTTCAATAACTTGAAACGGAATATGAAATGTAAAATGTCATCAAAACATATAAATTTACACGGTTTAAAGAAAGAAAAAGTAATTTTTAAAATTTCATTGACCAGAAATTGCTGAATATAAATGAAATAATTAAGGTAAATGAAATTCACTTGACATTTTTATCGGTGCAAATCTCCTTACCAGGGGACTTTTCAATAATTGTCAGAGATTTCACGGTTTTGCCTTGCATATAACTCATTAAAATGATATATTGGTAAAGTTGGTAATTGGTTTTGGTAATTCGAGTAAATTATTTTTATTTCGATATACGTAGTTTCTTTTATATACAGTTCAAATTGGTGGCATTGCAACGCGAGCAAAGTACAGTTAGTAATTGATGAAATTTGAAGGGAAAAAAATTAACTTATTGAAATTAATATTGAAAAAAAAATTAGGAAGTTGCTGTTACCTTTTATTTTACACTCTCTTGAAATGCACTGTGAAATCGATTAGATTAATTTAGGTATATATTTCTTTACAAAAGAAAAGAAAAGAGAAAAAAAAAGATTTGCTTTAAATGTTAATATTAGTTTTTCAGATAAGTACTGAGTTAGCTGGGAGAGTGAGATTATAGTTAACTGTACTGAGTTTAAAAGATACATAATGTTCTCTAACAATAATTTACTTTATTTCTCTATGCAAACCGTGTCTTACAATTAGTCCACTGAGAGACAGTCATCACAAGAAAAAAAAACGATATTGCTCTTTATTGTTATTAGTACCACTTGCTAATATCAGCAAGCCCTGCTATGGGAATCCAAGTGAATTTTTAAAGCGGAAGGTGCGTTTCTTGTTTTTTAGCGGCACCATCATCCAAGAATACTACTTCAACCATACACACGTCACAGCCAGTTTCACAGTGAGGATCCCTCCATTATTTTATCCACAAATCGTAGTTTTGACTTGAACCAGAGAGCGATCAATCTCCAAATCAGTACCCCGCAGATGTTTCGATTTGCTAGGGGAACTTGTAGTACTTAGTGACCCCGAAACATTTAACGTGTACCATTCACCATTTAATACACGGGGATTCTGTCACGGTGGGGGCTGTGGGATTCAAACTCACGCTCTCGTGTACACGAGCCCACCGTCCTACCGACTAGGCTATCCCTGCCCAGAAGCAATCACCCAGAATTTTTTTAACAGACGTTAAATGCTACAACGGGAATTGAATTTGCTATCTCCAGGCGGGTGAAGTGATTAATTTAGTATTTATTTATTTATTATTACACACATGACGGCTTGTGCTTTCAATTCAAGGTACGGCTTATAAACTCTTGTCAAGTTGAAGAACAGTATAAAAGAGCAGCGTACAGATACTACATCAAGGAATACGGTAGGATTTGAACCCGCTGAACCATTGTTTTCGTAGTTATCATGCTGTCAGCTCGTCCACCTCTCCGGCGGATCAAAATTGAGATGGTACGCCTTCGGATTATTTTATGGATATTTTCCTGACTGTCGCCAATAGCCCATTATGCCTCTCTAGTTTGATGTACATAAAGTATTTACCTTTCTACCTTTTTTTGATATTTGAGCTCGACAAGGCAAAGGAAAAGTGTAAAAACTTTAATCTATAACATCCGGATATATGATCAAAGTCATATAGAACTAATATTTTTGATCTAGTAAATTTAGTGCAAGTGTTTTAGTTAGGTGCAAGTGTATTATTCAGGAACTTACAATGGGATAACTTGTGAATGAGTATCAGGTTGATTTAATTGTATTGGTTAGTGCTATAAAACGAGTTTCAACCAGTGTGTTAATGTTTTGTAGTGTTTCTTAACTGTTTTGCTCTCATCTGAGAGACTTTATAGTGTTTACAAGAATTTACGATCAACGAAACTTTGATCCTTTTTTTTTACTGTGACCTTTTTTCTGATAGATTGTTCTTCAAGTCTTTTTTATTTTCCTATCATTCGCATTGCTTATGGATATTTATAATATTAGATAAGTTTTAGATTATTGTTCTATCGTATAAAAATAGAATTTGAGTTTGTATAGATAGTATAGATAACTTTGCATTTCAGATATGATTATAATCATGTCCTTTTTTTTTTTTTAAATATTTTGCAGAACTATATGAATCAGCTCAATGAACAGCTCTTTTTATTAAATTTTCAAATAAATTAGTATGTCAAGTTATTAATATGTATAATTTACTTACCAAATTCATTTTCAATTGGTTTTAGTTTTAACTATAGGATTTTAAAGACATAAATTTGTAGGGAATTTGAAAGTGGAATTTTAAATAATCAGAATCACAAATTTATTGTTTAGTAAATTTAGTTAAGTTTCGTCATAATACTGTAAAATAAACAACAGTGTCTCTTTAATTTTGTTAACATATTTCTCATTAAGTCGCGCAGTTGTTAATATATTTCTAAGAGAAGCAATGGTAAAAAGGTAAACCTATTAAGTTAAAGAAAAACTGCTTCAAAAAGTTTCTTTTCTATTCTTTTACAGATTTTTAATCACAAATATTCTGCTAAAACTGCTTTAATGGCATATATTTTGAATCACTGTAAAGCATACGGTCAGACAAGTATGCATATTCAAGGTCCGCTCTAAGGATTTCAAATTATTAACCAGTAAATTATCAAATATTAAGAGTATTTTCGAAAGTCTTCTCCAAGTGCAAATCTTAATAATTTTTTATGTTTTATATTTTCCCATTGAAAACTATTTTATGGTAGTTTCTGTCAGGCTCATATTATTTAGACGCAATTCTAATTGGTAATGAGCCGCATCTACTGAAAATTACTGTACTCTAATTAAAAATACTGATTTGTATGGAAAAATTCATTTTTACGCAATTTTAAAGATCGACTTAAATATAGATTTGTCTTTCTTTCCAGAAGAAAAAATCATTCACCGATACTTTTGCCAAAACACAATTTTATTCGCCAAATGTACGATTTTATCGCATTTGGTGAGGTGGCGAATGCTTGGCGTTGGCCCTGGTATCATAAACCACAGATTAATGTGCGAACAAAGAATGACAATTTGGACTCGTGATCTGTCGAGAATGCATGAAGGTCGATGGTGTAAAAACGCCTTTTTGGCAAAGTTAAAGGGAAAAAGACCTCTGCATAGACAACGCTATGATAGATCGACTATGTTGAGAGCAGTGGCGTACGCAGAATGTTTTCAGGGGGGGGGGTTCATAATTTTCAGAAATTACTAAAAGAAATTCGAGTATGTAATAAAGCACTATTATTTCCCTAATTTAGACAGCTAGACAATTTTGACTTTTTATTTAGACAACATTGTTTAGTTAAATTTTTTTTTATATTTTAAGTTTAAGAATATAATTTTTTTTATAATAAGAGGTAAAATATTTTATTTTTATTAAAAAGTAGGAATAAATCAAGTCAGAAAAAACTACTGTAACAGCTACCTAAATAATAACCGTATAAATGTGAATATTCCATAGAAAACCAATTAATTTAACCAAAAAATAACTTACCAACAAATAGGGAATTAAACCAGTATGCAAACACACTGAAAATTTATTGATTTATACAGTAATATCCAAACGACGGGGTTTTTTTGCAAGTTCGTTTAAAATGTCTTCTACAGCTGGGGTAAATTTTCTATGAATGCTTAAGAGTGCCAATCCATTCATTCTATTATTTCCGTTGAGTTGCGTAAATAAATCTTCAAACGGCGTAAAGTCGAAAAGGATCTTTCGTTTGCAATTGTTGAAACAGGTAGAACGACCAATATTTCTAGGAGTTTGAAAATGTTTGGTGTTATATCTTTATTGCACATTCCAAGAGCATCCGCCGCAGTTTTTGGAACACTACCTCCGTCTTCACTAATCCTTTTTAATCTTTTATACCAGAGTTTTAGTTCAGACTTAAGGCTTTCTTTACAGGTATCCAAATCTCCAGCGTAAAATTCCACTAATGCTTCAAAAGCCTTTATGTTTGAAGGTTGGCAAATGAAAGGATCGGCAGGTAGAAGACACTGAAATCCTTTCAAAATATCACGATGCGATACAAATCTTAAGTTTAATTGTGTTATAAAATTTTCTATAAATGGAATAAAAACACTAACTCTGAAATATGTTTCCGGTGTCGATGAAGGAAAATTATCGCGATTTTTCTGTCTTCCCATCATTCTAGGGATTTGCATGGAAGTGGAAGATCCAATGTTTGTTAGCATAAGAGAAAAAGAGCTGAATATTTCAGAGAACGTTTCAGTGGCATTTTCACGCATCAATTTTAGATCTTTAGTGACATCTTCTGCAAGACTCACTGCCTCTGTCAAATCTATGCTTGTTTTTTGTAGGTATCTACAGAGATGGATTGTTATGATGAAAACTTTGTAAATGCACAAAAAAGATATTACGAACTGGCAATTAGATACTGTGCAAAGTAAAGAATTAGCCTGGGTAGCTGATTCCTTATCCTTCCATTCTGATATTTTTTGTAGTGTTTCAACGATAGGCTCGAAAAGTTCCACCACAGCGGTTACTGAGTCGTATCTTTCCATCCAACTGGTTGCACATAGCTGTTTAATTTTCTCCCTCTTAGAGCTGGTTTCCATCTCCTCTATTGCTGAAGATAGGACATACTGTCTTTTTGGCGTATTTAAAAAGTCGTATAATGTTTTAGTTGTCCCTAAGCAATTTCTAATGCCAGTTATTTCGCTTGCATTTGATGCAGCCACATTGAGGCTATGAGCAGAGCAATGTACATAGAGTGCTGATGGGACAATACTTCTTACGTGGGCTTGTACACCATTAATTTTTACACTCACTGATGCAGCACCATCGTACCCCTGTCCCCGTAACTTTTTCATATCAACTTTCATAGACTGTAATTGGTCTAATATTGTTGATGCTATTGCTTTTCCGGTTAAGTCATGCACCGGAATGAATTGCAAAAACTGTTCGGTGACGTTAAAATTTTCTTTATCGACATATCGAACGCATAACGATAATCGCTCTATACCTGCAATATCAGTTGTTTCATCTGCAAGAATGGAAAATCAAGTTGCATCATTAATCTTGCTGACTATTTTTTGCAGGATTAAAATATTGCAAACCTCAATAACTTCGTTCTTAAATCGAGGGCTGGTATACTGAGCATTTTTTCTGCTTGACTCTAAAATGTTCTAAAGAGTCGAATCGTTCTTACTCCGGAAACAAAGCAATGCCCGAAAATTTCCGTCGTTCTCTTCACCTGGTTGTTCAGAAATTATTCCCGAATCCTTATGTCCTCTTAGAGCGAGACCTTGATTTCCACAAAATAGGATGGTTTCAATGATTGGAGTAATGTTTTTACTATTTTCTAATTTTCTTCTGCTTGCTGCACTGCCAACTTGTTCATCCACAGGTTTCATCTTTCCAAGTAAAATATCGTTTAATGTCCCAGCAGTTTCGATCGATTTTTTGTGTTTTGTGAGAAAGACATTTCTCGTGTTCAGAAAATAGCTCTACAGCATTTTTCCAGTTGTCAAATTTTACATTGTACAGTTGGCCTAAAGGTTGCTTTCCAGAACCGGCACCACTTGGGGCGAAAAGTACTCAAAATTTGCAAAAAGCACCACCCTTAACCTCTGAATATGCAAGCCATTTCCAGCGATAAAGCCATTTGTATTGAAATTTCAATTTTCTTTTTCCTTTCTCAGGAAAAACAAATGTTGGATTGGGTTCCCAAACATTTTTAAATATATACATATTTTTAACCTCGCGTGTATTATCTTCTGAAAAGAGTCCAATGTCATATGGGTGGGAAGTAACACTTTGAGGGCCGCTTTCATATTCATCAGATTCTGTTACGCTAGAAACGTTTTCTTCAACGGAAGTATCACATTTCTGTTCAACAGAAAAACTTACATTGGTACTAGATGCTGTCACCTCACTAATTTCAGGTCGTGATTTTTTCTCAAAGTAATTAAAAATTGTTAAAATCATGCGTTTTGACATCCTAAAGATCCAAGAACAGAAAAAATATATACATATATATTGGCACAGAAATATCCGCTAAGCTGCGATCTCAAAGTTTCGAGCTGAAATGAATAACTTCAACGAGCACAGTGTCTCCAAAAAAAAAACAGATTTAGAAACAAGCTCCGAAAGACAAGCGGCAGATCTCTTAGTCTGACTAACTAACTCCACTGTACTCCGTTCCCCCTTTCATATAATTTTTTTTACCGCATCTACAAAATTCTCGAATTGTCTCAAAGACGACAGAACGTCTAGGATTCCAGACCTCGCGAATGCCAGCTAGTCTCGAAAACTATCGCGACTGACAGGACAGAAAGGAACCAGCGATCGGGGCTCGCCCGTAACAGTATCACGTGAATTTGATTTCAAAAGTACACCTCTATTATAGTAAATGTTTTTTTCAGTATTCTGAGAAATACCGTGAGAAAAAAAAGTAGGCATAAGGTAAATAGAAATATATAGTCTTAAAAAATAATAGCCAGCATAATTTCTACTGAAAGTTTTATTTCTGTCTGTATTATTTTGTAAATTCACTTTGTCTGAGCTCAAGGGGGGTATTTAAACCCCTAACCCCCCCCCCTTGCGTACGCCCCTGGTTGAGAGAAGCAATTAACTTTTCGATAGTTTAATTCATTGAGTAAAAAGATTATGATGCTGGCTTGAATGAATTTACCGTAGTAATTATATAAACCTTAACAAGAGATCTTTATTTTTTTTTTTCAATTTTCAAGATACATATGCACAGCGCAGAATAAGAAGTAGAGCAATTGGGAGTAACTTTTCATTTAATGTCCGTGCTGGGTCACAATCATAACACTTCCAGAAACTAACCATAAGTATTGTAAAGTTCTGAAAATGGTATTTTTAGTTAAGAAGTCAGATATAAAAACGTACTTCCTCTGAATAAATATTGAACCCTAAAAATAGAAAGCAGCAATCTGGAAAATATGTTAAACGTAGTTTGGCCATGAAGACAATAAAAAAATTTATAGTTTTTGAATTTCGCCATCTCAAAGAAATCATAATTTTAAAATATTTTTATAAGTTGAGCCATTAAGTTTTGGATTATACCATTTAGTCCTATGTTAAATTAGAGTGTTAAAATTAGTTTATTTCAAAATTAATTTTTCAGTACTTAATTTTTCAGATTCAATTTTAATTAATTTTTCAGAAATAAAAAATTCAAAATTAGTTTATTTCAAAATTAATTTTTGTTTATTATCTTATTATAAGTCAAAATCCATGGTTTCTCAGTTTTCTATTGTTGTCAGTACGTTTTTACTGCCTGGAAATCACATTTTCCCACATTAATTTTCATTTTGGTTTGGTTGTCCTCACGTATAAAATTGATTATAAGACAATTTTTTTTTTTATAAATATTTTTCTTTCCCTAATTTAAAGATTAAAATTACATGTACTTCTATTATGACGTATTTGGTTTTGCTTGATTTCTAAATTAAGAATTTTGGAGGATTGTTTTATTTATTATTATTCATTCTTCTCCCATTCTGGTTTCGGATTTTCTTAATATCAACGGATTCATTGATCTGGTCTGACCCCGTCAGACCAGATGGGAATTAGCAACAACAACAACTTATTATTATTAAAGTAATGTTATTCTACGTTACATTTTAAGTTAAAGTTGTTTAAATCGTTGTATCATCTTATTAACTGTTTTATAATTGTTATTTTTTGGTACAAATTACATTAATATACAATTATGAATTACGGTTAAAAAGATTTGGTAAATGATTTAAAACTTTACTTTCAGATTCATGCGTAAAGTGATGAATTCAAAAATTTTATTTAAAATATACATCAGTCCATTTGGTAAGCAAAAATATTTAATTACAAATGAGAGACTCACCAAATTTGTTATAAAAATATACTTTTAATTTTAAATATTATTCCAAAAAGTTATTACTTAAAAAAATGATTCATGTTCACATACAGATTTCAATAGTATCACAAGGGAAATATTTGCATTTGAGTAGTGGAGGCACAAGTGTTCTTTTTAGTACATAAACTATTAAGTGAATAATTTCAACTGTTTTATGCCAAAAACCAGCAATTATTGCGAAGCAATCATCGGAGTTGGGGAGTGTCAGCAAACAGGCGGCTTAACCCCCTGGAAATAAATAATAAAACATAACACATGACTTAAGAGGTATTTACAGTCTTGCGCAAAAATATTTTTTTCCGCTTTATTAATTCCGAAGACATGTATAAATATGCAAACGTGAAATTTAAGTTGGAATTAAAATAAACTTTCAACCGCTCTCCTGAATACACAAACTATTGGAATCATGCCTTTCAGATTAAGGCTGCTCCCCTTTTTTCAACATGAAGAGTTTGAAACCGTCAAAAGAAAAATGTATGTTTATTCAGACAAAGTAGAGTTTTGGGTCTGATTTTGCAACTTAAATGTCGCGTCCACTAATTGATTAGCGTATTGATGATTAAGTCCTCGTACCATTAAGACAGATTGAATCCCAGCATCGGAGGGAAAATCCGATCATTAGATCAAAAGTTATTCACGATTTTCATATTTTGTTGCACCGTACAGTGCGACAAAGAAAACGGGCCAATCTGAGTAACTTTTGATCTAATGATCGGATCCTCAGGTTTTAGGATTCAATCTTAATGACTAGAGGGCATGACTTCAAATATGCTAATTAATAAGTGCTGACGATATTTTAAGTTACGAAATCAAACACAAAGGCTAAATTTTGGATACCTTAAGGTTACTTTTTCTTTTTCGCCATATCTCGAGAACTTTTTAAGCGAATTAAAACATTTTTGATCGTAGTTTTAAATTCGCTTATCCAAAGATAATTCCGCGATAAAAAATAATTTTAGTAAATATTTATTATTTTTCATTAATTGTTGAAAAAAGTTTGAATTATGAGGTCTAACTTTTTTACGTCGTTTTAAGTTATGTAATATTGCATGACAAAATGCAAAGTTTGAGAAAAATCCGTCGAATAGCTCCTGAGAAATTGAATTTTAAAGAAGTCGTATAGTTGAAATTCAATTTCTCAAGAACTATTCCAAGGATTTCAAAAAAATTTTTTTTTATTTTGCTGTATAAAGTTACGAACATTAAAATGACGCAAAAAATTTTATACCTTACAAGTCAAAATTTTTACCACCATTATTAAATAAAACAATCAATATGTACTAAAAGCTATATTTTGAATATAATCATGCTTGGAAAAACAAATTTCATAATTGTGTGCAAACAAATTTTCAATTATCTTAGAAAGTTCTCGAGATATGGCGAAGTACACAAAAAAAGTAAAATTAACATTAAGGGGTCCAAACTTTGGATTCCTCTCATGACCAAATTATGGGGACCATATTTCCCTAATTGGGGATATATCTTATATTTTGGGGGCCAGAAGTTCGAATTCGTTGGAAAAAAAAGGTATGTTTATTCAGAGAAGGTACGAGGGTTGCTATTTATATTTTTTGCCTAATAATGAAAAATCAAATATGTAGGATCGAAATTGGTTTTATTGTTTTTCAAAATATTCTCCATGATGATCAATACATTTTTGCATGCGTTTGAACCAATTTTCAAAGCACTTTTTCCAGTCCGATTGAGATAACTCCAAAACATATGATTTGAATGCATCAATCGCTTCTTCGGGGGTCGAAAATCGATGCCCACGTAATTTATTTTTGATGTGTGGGAATAAGAAGAAGTCATTGGGTGCCAAATCAGGGCTGTACGGCGGATGACCCACTTCCCCCCTTTTTTATTGTTC